TGTCGCTTTTTGGCTGTCGTTTTTGGGTGTGCTGCATCTGCATAATTTTTTTCCAAACGTGCCAAAAGAAGTATGACTTCAAAAAACGAAAATGCATACTATTGTTATCAATGAAGGAGTTAAAGTAAGTAAAATTATTGAAATTCCAAATTGTTTTTAATTATTTACATACTGTCCAAGAAATTGGTGAACGTGACTTAGTAACTCTATCGTATACGTCGTGCAGCTGTAGTCGGTAATCCAGTCATTACCTAGCGGGTGGTCCGTCCCCCACTTTCCCTTTATTGTTTGTTTTACGCTAATAGGCCTCGCTAGCCGGGAATGTGAGGATGAAGCGATAATTTGTATTGGCTTTACTTGTAGATGCTAAATGAAACTTTTTTTTAGCAAGAAAGTGTTCTTCGGTTAAGATTTGGGCTGTTTAGAATGTCTTTAATATATTTTTTAAAACACTTTTTAATCTAAACTAGTAATCGCCCCGTGGTTGAAAATCAACCATAACTCATTAAGTTATTATTATATTTTGATTATTTGTTATTACGATATTGAGATTATTTTTTCAAAGTTATACAGATAGGCTATAAAATCCAAAATAATTTCGAAACTGGTCCATACATTCAGAGATTTGTAAGTACAGACAAACAAATTTTCTAGTTATCTAACATCATGCTACATCTTATAGTAGTGAAGTAATTATGTATGTATAAATGAAATACGCTTCTGCTTATTATGCTTTCTGCAGTCCTTCTCTATATAAACTTTAACTATGCCAAAGTTCATAGTTCTCCATACATGCAATAAGTTTAATAAGGGGTTCAAAGTTTCATTCATGTATTAATATATGGATAAGCTATAAAGAGGACTTCCTCTGTTTATATATCATATTATTGACTGAATTTAGGGCGGGGCTAGATAGGTTGCTTAGATAAGAGCTCTTAGGCAAATCATTACGAACATTTACACTTTATAAGTATAGCTAATGCTAAAAAGTAATAATAGAGTGCTTGTTTAAACGTTTACATGCTCTTTGTAGGTGTGAGCTTATTTGCTAAGTACTTAATTGTCAAATATTCTCAATCTCAAGTAAACAGTCTACACGTGACAATATAGTTTATTTATGTTATACAAACTTGGCTACAAATATAGAAAACTCGATTTATTGCATAAATTGCCGTAAGCCGTAACGAAACAACCCATACAGCACGGCTGAGTCACGTAGGTACGGTCGGTCAAACACGCCTATAACCCTTATTGCATAGGAATTAATGACTATATTAATAATATTCACCTCAAGCCTGCGTCGGGTGTACTGGCAGATGTTGAAACTTGACCCCGTCTCGATAACAATAACGACGGTAGACGTACTATCGGACCCCACTCAGTACTGAGACATTTAATGTGAAAGCTCTAATGTTAATTTTCACAGTCCTTATTATGTACTTTGAACATCGAATGTCTTAATTGGTCTTATTTCTTCATAATATGTCAATTTTTATTTATTTATTTAATTATTTATGTACCATAAAATATATGTTATACAAAATAAAGTAATAGAATGTCGAATTTTAGGTTCAAATTTTAGGTTAAAACAGAAATTTGTTCAACAAAACTACATTTATAATTTATTTTACGACCTTACCTTAGGTACCTTGTAACGGTTAGTATGAAATACAAATATATGAATTTATCGGCTTGTCTGTACTATAATACGCATGTATTATACATATAAAACTTTCTCTTGAATCACTCTATCTATTAAAAAAACCGCTTCAAAATCCGTTGCGTGGTTTTAAAAGATCTAAGCATACATAGGGACAGACAGACAGCGGGAAGCGACTTTGTTTTATACTATGTAGTGATTACATTCAAAATTTGTTAAAATTGCTAATGTCATTTTTTAATGCAAACTACAAACAAAAATAAAAAATTATACCTACCTTCATACGTTACTATAAAAACAAAATATTTTTATAACAATATGATATTAAAGAGCCGATTTATCAAGAAAACGTAGTGTAATAGGCGTAAAACACGAATAATGATCGAGTATAATATTAATTCAATTTTGAAAATCATTGACAAGTGAAGGTGATGAATAAATATATCGTAAATTATACATACACTTACCGCACACGTGTACCATAAATGGTACAAACTTAATTGCTAGTTGACATTTACTAAAAATGCTTTAAAAACCTCCTCGAGGTCTCCTACTAGGATGAAAAATGTTGACCTTGCTATCGTTATCTGTTACTCTCGTGTTTTCAAAATCGTTACATAAAAGAGAATTTCATGTAATTTAAATAATTTATCGAACCCAGTTAACAATTATGCCAGTCCTAGAGTACGTGACAATGTGTTTTTAAGTAATTATTTCCTAATTAACTGATAATTTCTTTGTTTAATGGGAGGTGTTACAGAATTTTTGTCTTTTAAATTAAACTTTGTCAGAAATGTCTATTTTATGGTAAACAGTGGTGTGATCGCTCGGTAAAGACAGTGTCGAGGGAGTCTAGTTTGGATAATATAATTTAATAGTGTCTAGCCTTAAACTTCTTTACCTTAAATTACTGAGACGCGCAACCCTCGCTCAGGATTTTCACGATTTAGTATCTACCGAACACTGCCACCTGCTGCCCGTTTCAATCTATTGTATTACAACGTAATAAAACACAGATATAATGGTATGAGTAATAAATAATGTAAAAATATTACATTGCTACGACTAATAAAATTTAATATGTTATCCAAACGGTAAAAATATCTATATGCTGATTAAAGTTAAAGAAAATATAGGCCTTCAAAGGTGGCTCGGTTCTAACTGCAGACTTTTTGGTACGGAACCCTAATGAAAACGGATTCTCTCTCTCTACACAGACTATTATTAAAAAAAAACTTCGTGCTGTCTCAGAACATAACATTGTAAGATAATATGATATTAACTTATTTCGTAATTCGCTTGAAGTATTTCGCTATAAGTACCTGCATACTTCGTCTTCGTTCAAGGATCATTAGTGCATCTTAAAATCACAATATATCTGATTTATTTCAATGATATCTTTAAGACAGAACCAGTTAATATATTACCGAAGAAGCAACCCTTTTTCTTATCAATAGCGTCTTGACATACTAATGGTGTATTGAAGGTCTCGTGATGGGAAGTAGCGAGTGCGCGAGCGTGGGAACTAAATATATACTAACATAACTTGTATCGCAATAGCAAGGTCTATGAATGCATTTGTCTGCATCATTTGAAGATTAATCTACGTACAAAGTATGAAAGTATGAATGGACTGATATCAGAAATTATCTATGAACAATATAATAACTCATCTGCATTATTTCTAACTACCGACTTCTCCTCGCTTCGCTAAAGGTTGGTCTCTAGGTACGTTTTTTTTTAAACGGAACCATAGTTCTTTTTCTAAAATAAAAGTAGTTCTTTTTCTTAAGTAAAAGTAGTTCTTTTTCTTAAGTAAAAGTAGTTCTTTTTCTAAAGTAAAAGTAGTCTAAGTTACTCTTTATAACATCAGCTATCTGCCAGTGAAAGTCCCGCCAAAATAGGTCCAGCTGTTTTGGAGATTAGCCGAAACAAACAGAGAGACACGACAAAAAATTTAAAAATTGTGTTTTTTATAAGTACCATATATAATTGCATATTATGCATTAAGTAAAAAGCTGTTATTTTCACATTACCATTAAACATTTCACTTTTATTTATTGGTAGGTATAGATTTTAAATATTACGATATACAATAGCAAATGATGTTTTATTTGGAATTTCCGAAACCTAGTGAAAAACAGTCTTTGGTTTTACTTGACCGGTTGAAATTAAAATAAATCTCATTGAAATTCGTTCTAAAAATTCTTAAGTGTTTGTTTCGTTTTGTAAGCGATCTACATTCTACACATTCCAACGAAAATTCTGGAAAACTATTTTTTGTAGTGTACAACTTTAATCTCATTATAATTTTATCTATATAAATCAAAATGAATGTTGGTAAGCGCATAACTCAAGAATGATCATTTTTTTCGTATGTTCTTTAAGGTCCACGGAAAGTTTTAATAAAGAGAAAAAATGAAAAAAATAACAAAATAAAATAAAAATTTATATGGCTAAAGCTGGCTAATAACTATTTATATCTAAACCCGAGCGAAGCGAGGGTGAGCCGCTAGTATTAAATAAATATACATTTGTGACACAAATATCAGGAAATATCATTGTATCATTGACATACATTATTTAAAAAAATATATGACGTAAACATTTGTTCAAATCGCTTCATAAATCGTAGAGATCGGATATAAACTGTAACATACACTTTATGCTACGCCAATACAAGCAGAAATAAATATTTATTGTGACAAGTCTTCCAAGTTTCTTGGCATCACCGATCTCGTTTAGAGTAGTCTTAATCTGAATTCTGAGGTAAATCTGAGCCATTATTCGAACCTACAATGTTAATATAAATGTTGTATTAATAATATAGTAATTTATTATAGGTATCTAATACCTATAAACAGATAAATAAAATCGAAGTGTCTGTTTGTAATATCAATGACAGCTCAATACGTATGAAAGTTTACACGGCACCTAAGTACTTATAAAAAAAACTATTTTTAAAAATTTTGTCTCTTTCTGTCTGTTTGTTCCGGCTAATCTACAAAACCGGAACAAAAGACAGACAGACAGATAGAAAAAAATAACAAATTGTGTTTCTTATAAGTACCGTATATAATTTCATATGCATTTAGTAAAAAGCTGTCATTTTGACATTACAAACAGACACTTCAATTTTATTTATCTGTATAGGTGTATGTACAATTATCCTATAGTACATACATTTATACAGATAAATAAATAGTAAAATGTATACTATTTTTTTATTAATTAACTACTTACGTTTCTTTTCTTTAAATATAATAGAAACTTTTTTAAATTATTATCTGCGAATAAAAAAATCCGGATGTGTTATTGTGGAAATAGTTTATAAAAAAAGATGATCATCTATTTTACGTGCGCTATGGAGAGACGTTGTTTGTTCGCACTGGCTGATGGGTCTGAGGTAACCGGATGGAGCATCCGGCTCGCGAGACGTACCGTTATCGTACGCGTGGACAACTCGAGCTACGTGAGCGATGACGCACTATACACGCTCATACACGAACGGTACCTTTAATTTAGTATTGTGTATGTAAAATGTTATGTGCATTGTGCATATATGTGTTTAATATTTGGAAGATATATTAGAAGGTATTTATCCTTTTTTCAGTTAAGAATATAAAGGCTTTAGGTCCTTTCCTAGGAAAATTATTGTAAAGGTAAATATTGAATTATTATTATTATTGAACTATTTAGAGCATATTGCTACTGCGACCAATTGTGCGACCAATTGACAATAAATGCACCGAAATCTAGATCAAATTATTCAATTCAAATCTTTATTAATCTAAATTAGGTTACTGAATATGAATTATATTAATGTTTCAAATGTCAAAGTAAACATAAATAATATTAACATAACTTACCAAGCACGTATGAAAATATTCATAAATACTAAGTACAGTATCTACCGAGTAAGAGACTCACGCAGTTAATCGATTACTTCGGTAATATACCGTGTGATCTGAATGTACAATGAGCTAATGATAATCAGATGTTCTCCAGCTTAATTGTAATCGTGTCGAGTTAAAAATTAAATTTATGTGCCGTTGAACTATCGCATCGAGCGTAACTAACATCATGTACAAGTATATATATACCTGCCCGTGTCTTTGGGGCTGGTTTGACGCGTTTATTTCTTAGTCATTGTGTGTTTGAACAGTTGTTTTATAAATTGAATTGTTCGTTGACTGTTATTTGCTGTTAACATCAAACCCGAGACTGCTACGACTGTATTTTATTGGAAAGTAGGTCAGGTGTTCAAGTAAGACAATGCTCTATATTATTAACTTTTTTACACTAAACATTGGGTTATTAGATACATTCATATACAAATATATTAATGTTAACGTCCATTTTCAGTTTTAACTCTATATAATATAATTGTAATTTTAAATTATTTACTGTATTTGTTAGGTGCTTGGGGTGGTACAATAGACAAGGTAAGGTAGAGTTTTTTCGCTGTATACGAAGCGCGCCTACTGAATGAGTCTCTTAGACTATCTTATTTGCTTACCTAAAAATTGGAATATTTGACTACATATAAAATAGTATATATGTCTGAAAGATGGTTAAATGTTAAGGATTAAAGAAAATTTCTCGTGCATATGAAGTTGCCACAAAAGCTAGATAAATATTCTTCATAGCAATATACGTGTAATATTTTAATACAATAATCTATCATCAAAATTATATTTATACAAGCGATTCGACTTCCCAATACAAACTTTCATCCCCATTTTCACCCCCTTAAGGGATGATTTCCGGGATAAAATGTCCTTCCTAGGGTTTTAAACTATCTTCTTGCCAAACATCTAAATCGGTTCAGTAAATCCAGAGATTATCGTCTAAAACGTCACAAACTCATAAACTTACAAACACACAAACTCACAATCTCACAAACTCACAAAATTTACCTCTTTATAATATAAGTAAAGATTATAATCCAAAAAATGTCGAATAGAAGGAAATACCAGTGAACAAAGTTGTTGCACCTCAAAAAATGAATGATAATCACGTGTTATTTAGACACTTTGGTTGTTAAATCTGGGTAACCTGTTATTTATCAAGCGTTTTACCATTTAAAGCAATTTTATATGTAGAATAAGAGATTTAAAATTGCGTAGCGAATTTGGGTGCTCCGAGCATATCCCAAGGTTGTTGGGTCATTCACTTAGATGTCGGTTAGTGACGTCTGCCAGGTCGAGTGGCTGATGACGTCACAAGTACCTACATACTCACTGTTGAACATAGAAATTTTATATTTCCATTAAATGATTTGTGAATAAATTGTAGAATTTTAATTTTCATTTATTGGCTATTAATCTATACACAAAAAAATTGAATTAACCGTTTGTATTGTCAAAATAACAGCTTTTTACTAAATGCATATTAAATTATATACGGTACTTATTAGAAAAACACAATTTTTAATCTAATATCCGAAACAGCTGACTGACTGATTTTAACAGGACTTTCAGTAGCAGATAGCTGATGTTATAATAACTTACGCTACTTTTATTTTAGAAAAAGATTAGGGTTCCGCCTAAAAAATCAAAACGTACGTAGGAAGCGAGGCTAAGTCGCTAGTAATTAAAATTAATTAATAAAAAAATCTTATATATTTAACGTAGCTCTTTTTTTATGTAATATGTTCTCTAGTATGTTTACAAGCTCAGAGAGACTGATGATGTTCTCCCGACCGATTCCGGCCACGGCGGCCAATCTCATTGAGACTAGCCAACTGCGCAGGAGATATTATAGTGCACAAGTGTACGCGCAGACACAAGTGCACTCTCTATTCCTGTCACTCTCATACTCCGATGAGACGACCACTCGACACGACCAGTGAGAGTTAAGGCGCAGGGACAGCTTTACGTGCTCTCCGAGGCACGGGGGTGAAACACCGCCAACTTCCCAACTCCGGACTGTTACTGAGACTTACTATAGAGAAAGACTCAATGACTAAACTTGGCACGACCCGGGACTCGAACCCAGGACCTCCGAGTGTGCAGCCGTACTTGCTAGCCACTACACCACCGAGGCAGTTAAACTACTCAGAGAGACTACTAATCTATCTAATATATAAAATTCTCGTGTCACTGTGTTTGTAACAAAACTGCTCCGAAGCGGCTTGAACGATTCTTATGAAATTTTGTGTGTATATTCAGTAGGTCTGACAATAGGACGTAAACTATTTTTCATACCCCTAAGTGATATGAGTGGCCCACCCCAAAAAAAAAATTTTTTTTGTCTAAATTTTTTTATGATTCAGCATTAAAAAATATAAACCCATTTTTTTTAAATAATAAAAGTGTCTTAATAATATCATCAAAGGATGCAAAGTAAATTTGATCGAATCTATATAAAATAAATTTGTTAAGTAATTTGTTTCAATTCAAAATAATTAATAGTCATTTCTGATAGTATAAAAGAATACATCAATCATTCTATACAAATATTTACTAGTAACAAACGCAGGTCTCTAACCGATGTCTCAAAGGGGTCATCGCACTTTTTAGGGTATCGAGTCGAAGTACCAGGACAACAGCGTGTATTAGGAGGTTGGCAGGAGTTCGCAGGTCAAGGCGGTTCGTTCCCAGGTCGAGGACCGCTACGCGCCGCGCCGCCCCCTCTGAAGATCCCGTAACTCCTCACAGCCTATATCTCTCTAATACTTTAAAATGAAAGATTTCTTTTATTATAGACGCATTATTATTAGGCAAGCAATATAAGTAGCCTTAAAGAAGGAATAGAATTATTATTAAGCGACGCTGATTATATTATTTTTTTGGTTTTCGTTTGCAAATACTCGTATGAAACTAACTTTTTTCTGTGACTCTTGTTAGATTTCAAAAATGATAAAATATAATAATTATAAAAACTTTTTTTCCATTAATCTATTACTAGTTTTTTTATTGCTTTATTCCTAGGAAATATTTTTTGCTATGCTTTGAGACTATAAAACCGGTTTAATATATTTTCTATATTATTAGAAAGCTACAATCCTTAAATAATAATCTACTAGACCCACTGTTCTATCAACACTACTACGCAAGCGAAAATTTTATTAAAGTTTTCAGACTCATTAATTAATTTAAAAAAAGCAAAAAATGACAAAAAGATTTGTCGTAATCAGAATGTTTGCAAAAAGTAGAAGTGAAGCTAAGAATAAAAATATTTAAATTTGAATATATTATATTTCTTTGAGGTATCAAGTAACTATTTCAAAAAAATATCAGTATAGGTAATAATAATAAATGGTCAATGAACTTTTGAAACTCAAAAGTTTTATAATGATTCGGATTCTTTTTCGTTGATTTTTAAGTTTGCAGTACATTATTTGGAAAAATTCCATACAACATTGTCTAATTGGCAGTGCGCGAAGCCTAGGGGTATACAGGTTCAAAGCCAGCCAAATTGCGGTAAAAATAATATAATTTATGTTAAATGTTAACTTTGTTTGATTATTCTGATGTAAACACTATTATCAAGCAGCAATCAACCTCACAGGCCCTTGACCCCTATAAATATTTATGTTATACAATGTACTTACTGTTAAAGTTAAATTCTACCGCAAGATAATTTTGGACTGGATTACGATAATATTTTTTTACTATGAACGCTCGAACAAATAATTTAAATTCAAGATCTTTAAATTTAATAGAAGAGGTAATAACACGAAATGACCCGACGATCGTATGTATTTTCGTGTGTTTCTAGCGTTTGCTCAGCGTTCCAGCGGACAGTATAGTGTTACTATAGGTTATTTATGTATTATTTGGTTGGATTGTTAAAATTTATGTTTTTTAAATTATATGATATCTATATATCTACTTAAACTTATTATCTTATTATGAAAAATCGTTTAAATATGATAACAACGAAAATGGACAGCTAAAAGAAGGTTATTTTGATTTTTGCCTCCATATCAAAAATCCATGTCAAATCAATACAGGTCATTTAGACAAAGTGAATATACAACACATACCCTTAACTATTTTATTATGTATATATATAGGTTTGTTATTGTTTTATAAACTAGTCCATAGAAAGTACCGCGGTCACTTCGGCCACGCCCCGAGCGCGTGGCGTGGGAACGGAACAGGAGCGTTCAACGAAGTGGCTTATCTCGAAATATCGTCGCCGACAGCCTTCCCTGCGGTATATTGTCGAACTGTCGCTAGTTTTATACAACACTAATTATTTCAACGCGTTATGTTTACTGTTGATTCATTTAGGCATAACGATATACTGTTAGTGTTTTAGAAATGTGTGTATTTTAATATTGTTTTATTTAGAGTTCATTGTTATTCTTTTAATAAATGTACATACTAGTGACTTACCTTCGCTTCGCTCGGGTGCGTTCTGGGTACGTTTTTTTTGAGCGGAATCCTAAAATAAAAGATAGCCTAAGTTTCTCCTTATAACATCAGGTATGTGCCAGTGAATGTCCCATCAAAATCGGTTCAGCTGTTTTGGATATTAGCCGTCAGACAGATAAAAATTGTGTTTTTCTTATAAGTACCGTATATAATTTTATATGAATTAAGTAAAAAGCTTTTTAACCGACTTCCAATTCCAAAAAGGAGGAGGTTTTCAATTCGTCGGTTTTTTTTATGTATGTTCACCGATTACTCAAAGACGCCTAAACCGATTTTTTTTTTGTTTCAAAGGGTATACTTTCCCGGTGGTTCCATATAAATTTTATTGAAATCGGTCGTGCGGTTTTTTAAAAAATCAACAATAAATATATTTTTAAATAAATTGTTTAATCGAATAAGTTATTAAAAGTCTTTCTGCTTACAAATTACCTGTTTATTACGTCTGCACTAAAAATGGAAAAATAAAAACTTTTAACAAAAAATAATCTAATCTGATTAGGTATCTATTCTAATTGAAAACCTTCGTTTAGTTATTTTTTACATTTTAGTGCCTGGAAGTCGGTTTTTATTTTTTGTTAAAAAGTTTTTATTAAGACATTACAAACAGACACTTCAATTTTATTTATCTGTATAGATAAGTAAATATTTTTAAACTAGACGCGTCTAAACTTCGCTTATGTTTTAAATATATACCACGCGCTTCTTAGTTACCTTTTCAAATATGTATACTATTATTGGGATCGAGTAGATATAAATAAAAGTAGCCTATGTCACACCGAACTATAATTTCTGAAACACTACGATTAATCATTCTATTGCTACGAAAAAGAAAGTTTAAATAAACACAATTTCCCATTTATGTTACGAGTAAGAATTATGTATTGGGTAATTTTACTGTATTGTACCAGCTAGGTATATAATATCATGATAATTCATTCCTTTTGTTTAAATTATTCTTGTGACCAAACTACTACACCACGATGTCTGGAGGTACTAAATATTATAATTAGAGCCGATGCAATTATCAAAATGCTATGTTTAGAATGGCAGGATTTATGGTAATTACGGTTTGATGTTGCACGCTTCGCTGTTTCAAGCTTTGTCCAGGTAATAAATTGGTACTATTTCAAAATGCTTCCAGACCATGTATAGTTTTTGTTAATATATGGCTGGCTGGCTATATTTTAGGGTTAGATTTTGCAATTCCTTGTACTTACACTATATTATATATTGTTGTAGACATTTTATATTGGTAGATAAGCCTGTAATAAATATATTTGTTATTTTTATATGACGACTGTCCCAATGGTATAGTGGCTAGCATATACGACTGCGAAGTGAGCTCCTGGGTTCGAGTCCTGAATTGATTCAAAGTAGATACTTGATTTCAATGTCAACAAATACCTGTGAAAGACCGGGATTAGAAAGATTGTAGCATCTATATCCTATGCCTCGGAGAGTAACTTTAGCTGTCACTCCTGCCCCCAATCATCCTATGTATATTATAACATCCCATAGTCCTACCGGACTATGAGAGTTACAGGAACAGACAAAGCAGACTTAGTTATAGTGAAATTAGTCGCGAGACAATATTATAATATGAATACAACAGTGTATGTTGGTTTGTCATTTATTTAAATATATGTTATTTTGCATAGAGACGGTAGATATATAGACCGGAGAGTCATAAAGGTTCCCATGAGATATTAGTATATCGCGTAAAGTTACTGAAGTCCGCGCGGGGTTTAGTTAGGACGGGTCGCTAATAGGCTTAAATTTACATTCCTATCAATTAGTCCGTGATTTAACTCCATTTAATTATTTTACACGTAATGAAATGAAAGAAATAACGTATAATGATTTAACCTTTCATTCAGAGATATGTATCGACATTGTTTACTTAACTGTACTGTTTGTGTAAGAACAATTGAAACGATTATTATATGCTTAGTTGTGGGTAACGCTCGATAGTGTGAAAAGATTATTAGTACAACTATAAGTTAACACATAATAATTTTTATTGATTTATATATTGGGACATTTTAACACAACACCGTCTAGTTCCATGGTAAGCTACGAAGCTTGTGTTATGGATACCAGATAGTTGATACACTACACATAAATACAACTTTAGATATATACATATTATAAATGACTGGAGATACCCATGACTGGAGTACAAACATTCGTGCTCATCACACAAATGAATGCCCCCAGCTGAGCTCGAACCCGCGACCGCTGGCACAGCAAGTAGGGCTACTACAAACTGAGCCAAACATTGATTTATACCATACGACTTCGTTTTTTTTTAATTAATACGTAGAATTATGAGAATATTCTAATTGTGTTTGTGTGAGCTGTTACAAACAATACTAATGTAATTAACAAAACAGCTTAGCGAAGCAATATGTCTAACCTCCGCATATTAAATGTAGTGAATAAATTATCATTTTTATTATTAGTTAAGAAACAACACTACTGTAGCGTTGTAAATCTCAACGCAAGACAATTAGCCAAATAAATTTCCTATTGTTGTAATTTTAGTTGTCAATTATGTTCTTTTCTTATGTTTGTATTTTATATTAAAAATATAATTTTAAAAACCTCGCATTAAATGGCCGTAATTCAAATGTTATTATTGCTATCGAAGAGTCGTAACTCGTATTATAAACTTGAATCCATCGTCGGATTAGCTCGATGTTATGATATTATCAAATTATTAAGAAATAGGTAGGAATTGATTGATTCAAGATTTTTCATTATGAAGTTAGTTTCAAGTGAATTTAAAGCATTTTAAGAACTCAAAATGAGAAGCTTCTGTCCTACGTCCTATTTACAAATATTTAATCATGTTAATACCCAAGTTTGGCTTTTAAAAACAAAATGTTATTATGTATCGCAAGTCCGCACCTTGAAATAAAATAGTCGGCTCCATTAATGACTGCTGTAGGTGATGTTGGACCGTTGCCAGTTCGGTGCCCTATTCTTGAACGTTCGATATTTTTGAAAGTGTTGATAATTTAATATGTAAATACGTTTAATAAAGTTAAATTATTGGTAGTAGCCTCAGCGATGCTATCGAGGGTTCTTACTCGACGTACTTATCACTAAGGCTAATCTGGTATCAATTATTATGTCAATACAGTTGTCAATGTTTTTCCTTTAATGTTTGATTTGCGAGATATAAATTATTAGTAGGTACCTACTAGATATTTATCTTTCAATGCGGCTTCGTTCCTGTCGTAGGTATAGCGTTAGCGAC